AAGCCCTAGTGCTTATTTTGGGACCCAGAAGAAAGACGTGTGTGTGTGTATGTGTATGTGTGTGTGTATGTGTGTGTGTATTGTGAGTATGTTGTGTACACTCACAATATATATGGTGTGTGTGTGTGTGTGTGTGTGTGTGTGTGTAATCACATTGTACCTCCTACTATCAGGGAAATATAAAACAGAGCAATTGTCAGCAAGAATTGGCATTTCATTGTCAAAATATTTTTAAGGTGTTCATTTCCTAGGTAAGGTTTGCAAGCAAAACTATAAGCTATTGGAAGAGGAGGAATCTGATATCCCTGGGACAAAATAAAGGCAGAGCAAGCAACATCATGTTAAACAATTACTATGGAATTAAATCACCAACACTGACCAAAAAACAAACAAACAATTGGGTGTTTCTGTTAATGAATTTGACGTATAAGGGAACCCCTTCCTTCTGTCTTTCCTTCAATTCTCTGAGCTGAGAACTATTTTATTTTTCTCAACTATATCTATAACTAGTCATCACGGGAATTTCTTATGTGCAATTGTAACCATGGCTAATAAGTTGATAAGGTATCGAACACAATTCCTCCCCCACAACTTTCTACAAGCCAAAAAGGAGAAATATTTCTGCAAACAAGATACTTTTGCAAAACTTTGTTTTCAATGTTGTTTTCCACCGCTGGACTCAGTAGATGGCAGCACACAGCCAGCCATAACTGATCTCACAAATTAAGCAGCCACCAGCCCTGGTTAGTATTTAATTTTGCGAGAATTAGATGGGAATTCCAAGGAAACCGGCTGGATTGGAAAATAGAAAAAAAAAAAGAATCTCGGAAAAAGGTAATGGCAAACCACTTCCCTTGGGAATGTCAAGAAAATTGCATGGATATAACCACAAAGAATGAAGTTTGACTGAAGGGCATCTTTACCCCTTCGAATCAAAAACCTTGAAATTTGGGGAAAAAATCCAGTTGCATGTTCAGACTAAAACATTTCCCTGATACCATTTGTTCCTGTTTTAAACAAGCAGGAGCTCCGGATGCAATTCTTACAGAATTAGATTTATTTATTTATTTTTTTAAAATGCAGACTTGCATCTTAAAAATATGTAATCATTTTAAAATCACAGCTAGGCAAACCAAAAATTTTGTATGTACTTAATCCTCAGAGTGGCCCAAAAAGTCATTTTCCCTGAAGGAAAATTTCTTTTGTCTCCTCTTTACGCTGCTATCGTATAATTTTGTTTTCTTGCATTAAATCTTGCCCAATTCTTATAGACTGCCTGAACAATCCCTGCAGTTTTCTTGGCAAGTTTTTTTCCCCCCCAGAAGTTTTTACCATTGCTTTTTTCCTAGGGCTGAAAAATCATGACTGGCCCAAGGTCACCCAGAGGATTAGAACTCACAGTCTCCTGGTTTATGCCTTGATGATTGCACCCTACAGGCTCCCCAGATAATATAAAATTATTTCAATTCCCATCACGAGGAGTATCCCAAATGTACTTACATTACAGAAATATGGTTCTCCTTCCTCCATAGGTTCATCCACCATTTTAATGCCATTCAGCTGCAAATATAAAAAAGTTGTCATGAGTTCAAATGCATAAGCAATCGTGTTTCTTCTTTAATTCACAGTGTCAACGAAAAGAAATTGAGAAGTCTGTTGCACAACACCAAAAATGGAAGTTTGTTTTAGGTACAAACCTTAGCTAATCCAAAATAAACTATCCATTATGCTGGAAAGTTGTTACAGGTGTGGTAAAAGAGGGAGAAGAGCCTTGGTGGCACAGTGCTTAGAATGCAGCATTGCAGGCTACTTCTGCCCACTGTCAGTAGTTCGATCCCGATTGGCTCAAGGTTGACTCAACCCAGTGATGGGTTCCGGATCTCGGTGCAACCGGTACGGTGCAACGGGCCCCGGCGTCCTCCACATGAATGCGCACAGCGCGCGCATGCATCCTACCCTCCAGCGATGCTTCTGTGAGGCTCCAGCTGCTCGGCGGAGCATCGCGCAGGCGTTGTACATGCTGTGTTTGTGCACGGAAGCGCTGAAGAGTTTAAAGACAGGTAAGGACGAAGGGGGGGGCCTCTGGAGCACCGTACCGGAATGGTACCCAGTGCTCCGGGCAGGCACTGGTACGCCCATACTGGGGCGTACCACCTTCAACCCACCACTGACTCAACCTTTCATCCTTTCGAGGTCGGTAAAATGAGGACCCAGATTGTTGGGGAGGCAATACAGCATGCAGTCTTCCCTAGCTCCGTTTTCACTGGCAAAGGGCTATAGGAAGCCATCACAGCTGAAAACGGTTTTCGCTGGCAGAGGCACCATGGGCCAGTCCTTCGCTCTTTCCATGGTGGACCCAAGAGCCACATCTAAGCACCCTGTGGGCCATTTCCGGCCCACAGGCCTTGAGTTTGACACCCCTGGTCCAGAGGTGGTATTCAGCAGGTTCTGACAGGTTCTGGAGAACCAGTAGCGGAAAATTTGAGTAGTTCAGAGAACCGGCAAATACCTCCTCTGACTGGTCCTGCCCCCCATCTATTCTCTGCTTCCTGAGTCCCAGCTGATTGGGAGGGAATGGGGATGCTACAGTAACCTTCTCCTGCCATGCCCACGAAGCCATGCCACATCCACCAAGCCATGCCCACAGAACCGCTAGTAAAAATAAATTGAATCCCACCACTGTCCTGGTCTATAGGATTGCATTTCCCCCCTTTCTTTTCTTTTTTCAGGAAGTAACATTAAATGCAATTGCACTTTTCAATGGAACTTGCTCTCCTATCCACTTGCTAAAGTCCCTAAGTTCATAGCAACAGAATATAACAATAGGTCACAGAGGAGATATACTAACGTAAGCAGTACATGCTTTCAAAATATACAAGGAGTGTTTATGCTTAACATGCTCAGATGTTTATAAAGGAACAGAAGTACAAATCATTGCTTCCTAAACTTCTGTTCTAAGATGAGAATAACCAGAAAACTTTGATAGTGTTTCGTGATAATATAAAGGTTCTACATTGAAGGGAGAAAAATGTGTTTTTATTTATATTATATTATATTATATTATATTTATATTATCTGCTTTGCTGCTGCTTCGGCTGCCATGAAATGGGGAGGGAGGGCATGGTATTTGGGAGGGGTTACTTATTGTGCTGGAGGAAGATTCTGGAGTTCTGCTGC